AAATGGCGCGCGCTTACGGTCTCCGTCCCCGATTATGGCTCCTGCCTCTATTTGTTTCTCCCTCTTAGCGCATTGCCTTCCCGATGCGATTCACTTTCAATTCCATAGGGTAAGGTTTGTTGATGCCACGACACTAGATCAATCTGCACTGTTTCTTGGCAGAAAACGCGATAATGCTAGTCTACAACACAGACACATCAACCAGACAGAGTTCTGAACGCTGATGCACCGCTTGTACACTTATGCCGCGGCGTTTACACTCTGAAAACACATTAAATGTTTTCCGTCCACACCACGCCGGAGAAATTTAAAAACGCAACAATCGCTGGTCATGGGATTTGTGTTTGAGGAAAAATCGGGCAAAGAAAGCACATGATTATCGTGACGTCATCGTTTTCGAAAATCTCCGTTTTCAAATTGCTTTCCGTACACCAATTGTACTCACTAAAAGTCAACGGAGGCGTTTTGAAATTTCGTCCCTTTGAAGAACGTTTTCGAAAAGCTCCGTTTTGGTGACGGATAATTTTGGACAGTATGCCTAACAGTGGAAATAAAGCTGCATTTTCAAATTTTCCCGGCGTAATGTGGACAGGGCCTTAGCACCTAACAGTTGTTGTTCGTTTCCACAACATTGTCTCGCAAGGAATAATTTCTCCATACATAAAGGGCCCGTAGGTTATAAAATAGTTCTTGGCTTTGTTTAAAAATTTGTTGAAAGTATCCTCACTGAAGTTTAAACCTCCTGAGGCCTTAAAACCGAAATAGCCGAGCGTACAGCGTGTATCACCATAGAAATCTGCTTCTTAACTCTCATCCAGTCTTTTTTCTTGCCACTGTTTGTCGCGATGTGAATAGTGTCTGTGATACCTGGAAACTTGCTGTCTGGCTTAGCCTCAAAATAACTTGGTGCAAGAACCACGTGTCTGATGACAAGAAGCAAGAAAGAACACTATACAATATAATTAGCAGATTTTTTTTGCTAGATGATAAAAGAAATAGTCTAGTCAAAGAACAAATTTTATATTGGAAAGAAGACATGCACAATAGGCCATTTCCAAATTACCTGTAGCCTGAGGTTTCATTCACGTGCCAAATAGACACATTTTTCATATGACTGGTTGTGCACCAGACCTCGCTTTGAAAAAGAGGCTTAGGGTAACTCGAAAATAGGCTATTGAGCAAGATCATCATTCGGAAAAATTTCACATTTTGTCTCAGACTACTGGCCAACAACGCTATCGATCTTTGCTGTTACACGTTAGCATAGAATCGTGTTCAAAATGAAATCAAGAGGACAGATAACAGTTACCATATGATTTTATCACAAATATATTTAGCTGGGTATCCAGACAGAATTATTTATAAAGAGATTATGGTACGCTCCTTCACTCAGATCCTACAGGAAAAAAATTATCCCTTACGTTGTCGCTTTTTAAACCTAGCTAATGTTTGTAGTAAATTTATTTTCAGTCACTCTTGCGTTGTTTTCAGATTTCCCTCTGCTACTGATCAGCATTGAACAGAAAGGAAGCTACACGGTGGCGTCTGGGAACAGCATAGCTTTAACAGTCCGGGATCGTTATCAGATTTGATATCCATGTGACGTCACAACATGGCGGCCATTTCAAAAACCGGGAATTTTCGTATTCACTTCGCTTTGCTCGTTATTTGTTTGATTATACTCGAGTAATTTACCCATAATTCTATTCGATAATTACCAGAAAAGAAGGAGCCTCACGTGTTTTGAAGATGGCGGTTGAGGACCAGCGTAAACGATGTAAAAT